TAAGGATTCTAGGCACAGTCTGACCGCAGTAGAGCTGCAGTTCAGCGCAGCTGAGCGCAGTAGAACTATAGCGTGAAAAATTCATTTTTTATTCAGTTTGAGGAAAATACACTGTAAATAAATCCTGTAAATACGAGGTAGAGCATGAAAAAGGATGGCAACCCAAGGAGTATAAAAGGGAGACCCTTTCTGCGACTTTTTGCCCCCCTCAGAGAAGTAAGAAAATAGAGTATTATGTTTCTCAAGCATTTCTGGTTGTCACTCCCTGTCAGAGACCAGACTTGAGACGAAAGAATGTCTCCGTAACAGAGGGCTTCGGCCTCAGCGACTTCTGCCAGGAGCGCTGTGCCTAGTGACACGTCCGTGCCCTAACTTACTGACTGGCAATTAGAACCTAGGGGGGAACTCTAGTTGATTTTTCTACTGGGGCGTAACCTATGTACAAGTGGGATATATATATGGTTACAGCGGAGACGGTTCCGCAATTGGCGGAGCCGAACGGAGCGGAGCTAACGGGGTTTAACCATTAGCCGACTGAATATTACCGACGAGTCGGTTCACGGGGTTAGTGGAAAGGCAGGCGATAACCCAGAAACGGAAAGGAGGGATAAGCCCGAAGGTGGACTCTGCAGGGCAGGCGAGTGTATTGCTCAGCGGAGGCGGGGGTGCGCTAGCGGACGTCGGAGCTGTCTGGAAGTCTTCGGGGCTCCGTACTTAGGGAGGCGTAGGTAATAAATTGGAATGGGGGGGTGGTGACCATCAAGGGGTACCGAGAGGATTGCGGAATAACGGGGGCTCCGAGGTTAGTGAGGGAGGAGCGGAGTTGGAACGGAGGAATCGGAGGGACCGGAAGTCAATGGCCGGGAATGGATATGACACTCCCGTGCAAAAAAGTGATATACAGTTAAGATTGCCACTGTAGTAAAAGGCAGCAATTAGGGAGAGGAATATTAAGTAAATATTTCAACAGGAGAGCTGGTTAACACTCCAGATTTCAAAGTGTAAACACAAAACAGTTATTTTGCTACTGTTAAAACAAGCAATAAAATAAGACAAAAATAAAACAAACTCAAGGGACACTTCAGACACAATCTAAACCCATTAACTGAGTAAAATCTTTGAAAATTCACCAAGTAAAAGATTTAATTCAAGTTAAAATCCAAATTAAACAATCCTACACAGAATTACACCCAGACAAATTGAGAAATTACAATAGAGAAACAGCTCTGCAGGGCTTTGTTTATCTGTAAGTCAATTCTCAGAAACTTTTAGACTAACCCATAAAATAGAATTAGCCAAAACACTCGGATTGGTACTATAATTACAACAAATATTACTAGTACACTTCCCCATCCTAACTAAAGAACCAGGGAACAGCTTGGTGGTGGTCTCGTTTGAACCTCCCAACTGACCTTCCTTTGTTCTCTCCTTCAGTGTAACTTCACAATGGCTGGGCCGATTGGCCTGAAACTTTGCATAGTGCTGGTTTCTGATTTTTCATATTTTCCATGTAAATTTCGTTATGTGTTTTAAATATGGATTTTGCGTGAACGTCGGCTTTTCCCTGAGCTATGACTTCAATGTTGCTGAACCCGTTAATGAATATCTCATTGATGCATGAACCTTTTACTATGAAATTTTGCATGGATTGAGAATAGATCCCTTCCGTTCCAATGAGCTATCAAACTTGTCTCAGTCATTACTGGTTGTTCTTCATGCTTGTCTTTTGAACGTTGTCCTCATTTCCCATGAATTTCAGCTATTTGTCTGTCGTCTATTGGTAGTTTTTCCTGAAATTACCTTCATTGAGTCTATCTAAAAGGCATCTACATTCCTCATTGTAAACACAACATCAAGTTTTGCATTGGTTCCTATGGAATCCTTGTTCTGTCATACTTCCAGCCTCAGCTACTGTCGGGGTACCAAACCAAAGTGTCAGCCTGACAGGCTCTGTTATGAGAGGGGAGTCAGGCAGGTGTTGGCTGGGCAGCGATGAAAGTGAGAGAAGAGAGTTGGTTCTCACTCTGCTGCCAGGTGGTAGATAAGGCAGTGATGGGGAACCAGGGGAGTGGGATGCAGGGAACCAGGACTGTGGGATGTGCAGGCACAGGTGTTGTAGGTATCATGACATACAAACAATGATGTAAAGGTGGAGGTCACAGGTAAGAGAATATCACAGAAGTAGGAGTAAGTCGGAATTGAATGAACTGGGTAGGGGTGGTACTCTGACAGCTATGTGTGCAGGCATGGGAAAGCAGTTTCCATGGAGGTTTTCTGGTGGGTTTTATAGTCAGATCTTACCTGATTGACCTTGTTCCTAGTTTGATATTCGCTATAAATTCTCCCAAGCATTCCATCTTGTTGATGCTAAGCTTGAAGTATTTTTATTAATTTTCTATCTTCATACTTGTTGTATGTAGTCATAAAAATTCATAACAATTCGTGAAAATTCGTTAAAATTCAAGTTCTTCTATCCTCTCATTTCTACTTGGAGGACAGGGGTTTTGTGATTTTTCTGGCATATTTCCATAATGAGGTTTCATAGGCTGACCATTATTTCTCCTACAGCAGTTATTCATAGCAGTTATTCTGGGGCACTACGAGGCATTGGGGGCATTTTGCCCTTTCTTATTCAACTTAAGACTCCCTTTGTATGATGACATTGCCACTCAGGAATGTCACACTAGAAATGGCTGCTGCACCACCCAGACCTTGCTTGTGTGAGGTTTTCTTTTCATTTTTCATCCAATTGCACTTCAACTCCACATCATAAATTATTCAGATATTTAATTAACAAGATAAGGCAGTTGATAAAGTCTTTTAGATGTTATGGTAATAATGGAGAGTGGGAGTAGGGGCTGCATACATGATGCAGGCCCAAGAAAGGGTGAAGCGTAATGTGCTTCTGTAAGTTGGCCCTCAGTAAAAGTTGAAGAGCTGTATCACTGGTGTAAAACCAGTAGGGAGATGGTCACATAGACTGTCTACAACCTCTCAGCATGGGAGGAGGTGTGGGGAAGATATGAGCCCTTTCAGACTCATGGCTCATTGGAGCGTCATGCGCTTCAGTGAGCTGGCACTCAGCAAAGGTTGAAAACCCTTGATCTGACGCAAAACCAGCAGGGAGACAGTCATATAGACTGTCTCTACACATGCAACATCAGTGTGAGTGGGAGGTGGAAGGGATATGGGCAGTTTATCAGAGCGCAACACACTTCAGTGAGCTGGCACTCAGCAAAGGCTGAAGTGCCATCAATCCAGTGTAAACACGGTTGGGAGATGGTTGTATGAACCATCTCTGACCTCTCATCTTTGAGAGGGAAGTGTGCCTGCAGGCACACTAACAGAGAGTCAGATTTTGGCCAGTGAGGATGCAGGATGGCCTCCCTCTGCCCATGAGTGGGTGGCCCTGGTCGAGTCTGATGGCACAAATGGGGTGAATCTTGCTCTCCATAACCCATCAAAGTGAGCTGCCAACTGTGGCGAGAGGTCCATCAGTTGGCAGGTCACTGACTCTGCCAAGTTTCTTACAATCTGCTCTAGGTGGTCGAGTGTCAGGGGACAACTCCCAGGTCCCCATGACCCTCCCCTATGGCCCACAGCCTCAGGTCTGGCCAGCCCTATCCAGGGCACAATCCTACTGTGGGTAAGGAGATGATATAAATGAAGAGGCAAGTAAATACACTTGCCTACTGTGGGTAAGAAGATGAGAAGGAAGCTAACTTCTCATCTTCCCACAGTGGCCACCATATCAGGAAAACTTCCGGGAATATCCAGAAGTCACATGAAGGCAGGATCCGGGGCCGGATCATGCGGTGCATGGAGCATGCGGCGCAGGAATGCACACGGGAAATGTAGCGGGTCCGGACACAGGTCCGGGTCCGGGCTAGTCAGGGTGTGTGCCCTGACATCGAGGTGGTCTTCCACAGCCTGTGAGGGCCATGTTGGAGACTGAGAACCACTACTATTAGCAGTGGTTAGAGGTGTGTCAAGGATTTGCAAATCACTGGCATCAGTGGTGTGCAGAGGTGTCCCAAGGCCAGGCCTTGGGGATGCATTGATCTGCTTGGTTTGGGCATGTTAGGGTCCATGGAGGGTCCCATAGGTGCATTATCGCACCTGACATTGTGAATGTCAGGTGGACCGACTCTGGTAGTGCCATAGTCATTCAGCTTTGGGGCCGGTTGCATTAAACCATGTTGCCTTCTTATTGCAGGGCTCATGGGATGACCTAGCAGGTCCCATGGTGACAGTGGTGGTGTGAAGTGGGGATTCAAAGATTAGTGCACTTCATGACATTGATCTTGCCAATAATGGCAGTTGTAGATTCGACTTTTGTTGGGGTCTCGCTACACTACTCCAGGTTTTGTCTAGTCTTGGAGTAATCTCAGAGGTTTACTATGGGTAAAAATGTTGAATTGTTGTGAAGGACTTGAAAGGGTCCAAGCAACCATTTCTTGTCGACAGAAAGATCACATGTCGGAAAGTTTCAGAGCCCTTCACTTCTAGAACCCCGCACTGAAAATTTGCTTTAATTATGCGTGTTCTCACTGAAACCACAGCACTCAAGCATCACGAATATGATGCAAAGCTGAATAAATTTAATGAAAGTCTGCAACAATTTCAAAGTCATTCCGAAGAATGGATGACAGCCATTTTCCATGGGATATCGAGTCCACATGATTGGCAAATCACCCATTCCTTGCATCTGTTTAGAGAGCAAGAGGTCTTTATAACATCTAAGACTGGCAGCGGGAAATCTGCCCTTTCCCTGGCACCTGTCATAGCTCGAAAACTTGCACAGAAAGCACATATAGCCATAGTTATCTATCCAACGGAATCCCTCATAATTGATCAAGTCAGTACCGGAATAAAATCATTGCTAAAACTGTGATTAATGGGAAAGAATATAGGAGAAGAAGGCACGTGAGAAGGGAGTGCGATTCATCGGTGTTAGTGCAAATCTTCTGGTATCGGCACAAACTGCAGAGGCGCGGGACATATGGAAGGAGATAAATGATGGTGTGTGGGATGTTATAGGGATGGGACCCGAAATGATCCAAAGCCGGCCCATGGCAGCATTGCTGTGCAATGCCGAGTTCACTCGGAAACTGGGGTTCATATTTGTGGATGAAGTCCACCTAGTCCTTCAATGGGGGTCAACGTTCTGCAAGGATTACCTCAAACTCGGTGAACTTCGGTCACGTGTCCAAACACGCATTACATTCCTTGCAATGTCTGCATCTCTTCATGAAAGTGCTGAAGGAGAGAACGAAGGAAGGTCAGTTGGGAGGTTCAAACGAGACCACCACCAATGTTACAAAAATGGGGCCGGAGGCGCCCATTTTCGTCCATTCAAGGCACAGGAAAGGGGAAAGGTTGGGGAATGGGGTTCATATGGTTATACAGATGTTATCACAGGCAGTTTAACATTAGTTGTAACAGATGTTAGCACAGCGGGTTTTTGGTTGTTTATTGATTGGTTCAACTTAATTACTATACAAATCATGTGACACAGAACCCATAAGAGTCTAAAATGGGAAATTCCCATTTCCATAACAACCAAGCTGTTCCCTGGTTCTTTAGTTAGGATGGGGAAGTGTACTAGTGTTATTTATTGTAAATATAGTACCAATCCGAGTGTTTTGGCTAATTCTATTTTTATGGGTTAGTTTTAAAGTTCCTAGGAATTGACTTACAGATAAACCGAGCCCTGCGGAGCTGTTTCTTTATTGAAATTTATTAATTTGTCTAGGTGTAATTCTGTGTAGCGTTGTTTAATTTGGATTTAAACTTGAATTTAATCTTCTACTTGGTGAAGTTTCAAAGATTCTGTTCAGTTAATGAATTTGGATTGTGTCTGGAGTGTCCCTTGGGTTTATTTTATTTTTGTCTTATTTTATTGCTTGTTTTAACAGTAGCAAGATAACTGTTTTGTGTTTACACTTTGAAATCTGGAGTGTTAACCAGCTCTCCTGTTGAAATATCTACTTAATATTTCTCTCCTTAATTGCTGCCTTTTACTACAGTGGCAATCTTAACTGTATATCACTTTTTCGCACTGGAGTGACAACCAGAAATGCTTGAGAAAAATAATACTCTATTTTCTTACTTCTCTGAGGGGGGCGAAAAGTCGCAGAAAGGGTCTCCCTTTTATACTCCTTGGGTCGCCTTCCTTTTTCACACTCTACCTTCTATTTACAGGATTTATTTACAGTGTATTTTTCTCAAACTGAATAAAAAATGAAATTTTCACGCTATAGTTCTACTGCGCTTTTGCTGCGCTGAACTGCGGTTCTACTGCAGTCAGACTGCGCCTAGAATCCTTATTGTCCTCCCTCGCCTAAGCTATTTTAATGGTTAATTAGAACTTGGCTGCACTGCATTTGCCGCAGTTACCTATTTCAAATTCCCTATATATACCATTAAATTTGCTATGACTCGATGATTCTGAATTCAAACTTCGCATTACTATGCGTACGGCTGTGCTGAGACCTTCAGCTGATTTATTCCATTTTTATTTAGTGACATTTAGTTAAAATGAGACTGAAATGGTAAATGAGTGAATTATTCAGGTTTAAAACTGAAAGTAAAAGTTGCTAGTAGTCAAGAATTACTCAAACGAATGTGTTATAGCTCTCCACCTCATTAGAATATCGTTCCCTAAAATTCCCACCATGGTCCGTCATAGTTTAGTGGTTTTTGTGAATTTCGTTCATATTCCCTGATTCCCCTTTGTATTATCACATCCTAATCCTCCATATGTATTGTTCGTTGTTATAGTAGGTCGTCCTTGAAGATATCATATTTTTATGTATTTTATTTAGGACTCTGGACCTCTTGAAGCTGTTTTCCCATGCGTTTTCTGGTTTCTAACTTCATGTCCCTATATCTCATTCATTTCTGGATGTTTTCTCACGTTCTTGGTATCATAAATTTTCATTTATTCCCACCTTTCCAATGGTACTAAGATTGTGTCCTATTTCCTGGTATTCATTGAGTTAGCAAAAGTTCACGTGCACATTCGGTAATCACGTGTGTCATTCCCATAGTCGTTCGTATGCGGGTGCCGTTTCCGTTTAATTGTTCGGGATTTATGATATGCACGGGTTTTTATTTCTTTCATATGGGCTTCTGTGATTTATTTCAGATTTTTCCCTCATGATCTAAGGTTGTTTTGCACTTTCCGTGCTTTGTTTTGACCGGGCTCTTCCTTATTTGGATCGAAATTGGTCTTCGCGATCTGCCGAAGTGCAGATCTCGGTTCCGATGGCCGGTTCCCTGCGCATCACCACCCTCACGTGTCATTACACATGATGCGGATTTCTATATTCCCGTCATGGGTATAACTTCACAACGGCTGGACCGTTTGGGCTGAAAATTTGCATAACTATAGTTCCCCATTTTTAATAATTTCCGTGTAAATTTCGTTGTATGTTTTAATTATGGATCCTACGCAAACATCGTCTTTTCCCTGAGCTCGGACTTTTGATGTCGCTATTCCCATTATTGGATATCTTATTAATGCATGATCCTTTTATTATGAAAATTTGGGAGGATTAAGATTAGATCCCTTCCTTTCTAATGGGCTATCAAGCTTGTCTCGGTCGTTACTAGTTAATCTTCGCGCTTGCCTTTTAGACATTGTCCTCGTTTTGCAGGAGTTTTAGTCATATCTCCATCGTTTATAGGTAGTTTCCCCTGTAATTACTCTCATTGGTTCCGTTTGGAGGACATCTACATTTCCTATTGTAAACACGACTCTGACTTTTGCATTATTTCCTGAGGAATCTTCGTTCCGTGGTACTTCCATCCTTGGCTACGTGTTCAGACATGGGAAAGTTGTCATATCCATACAATCCCGACCTCCGCTCCGGGCTCCCGGAACTCCGAACTCCGACTTCCGGAGCCCTACTTCCCTTCCATCACTTTCTCCTTGCCGACTCCCAAGAGGTTATCCCACCTCCGGCTCGGACACCACCTTCGGTCCGACTCCGGAACATTCCGGGTCCGACCCCAACCTCGACACCTTCCAGACGAGTACACAAAACCTATGCTCCCGACTCCGGACCTCCGCTCCGGTATCCCGTTCACGTCTCGTCTCCGGAACCTCCGGTCTTAGCTCCGACCTCGGACTTTGACCCCACCTCCACTTATACCCATTGTATTGGTTAGCTCATTCCATTTAATTACCTTTGCCAATATTCCGGAGTTTAACCTCCGAGTTCGGACTTTCCGGACTTACTCCGGACCTTGCAACTATTGCATTGTCCATTTCAATTCCGCTATTCTCCCTCATTCCTATTTGGGCTGCTGCTTCCTTTCTATTCAGTCAGCTAGCCATTCCTGACTCCCATCCTCCTTCCTTCCTCCTTGGGCCTTGGCCCTTCATTCCTCCTTTGGGAAACACCATTGAGTCAAACACTTGACCCTCGGTGTTGTTCCTCTTTCCATCTCCCTTTGTCTCCTTTCGTCTTACCCTTGTTCCGGACCCCTCCTTATATACAATGTACCTAGTAACTTGTAACCTCAGTCCGAAATCGACATGAATTCCCCCAAGAGACTTCCCCTCTGCTAGATCCGAAATTAGGGACCCCTAGGACAACCAGCAATGGCACAGCGCTCCGCCTGAGTCGCTGAGGCCAAGGTCCTTCCACGCTAAGTCTCCGATTCCATTCCGGAGTCGTCCGAGTCTGCCAATTCTAACAAAAGTAGTTTCCGTGGAGGTTCTCTGATTATTTTTATAGTCAAATCTTGGTCGATTGTCCTAATTCTTGGTTTAATATTTGCTATAAATTCCCCCGAGAATTCCGTCTCGTTGATAGTAAGCTTGAAGTATTTTTGCTATTTTTCTTTCTTTCGATTTATCGTGTATAGTCATAATAATTCGTAAAAATTCGTAAAATTCGTTAAAATTCAGGTCCTTCTATTTTCTCATATCTACTTGTCGTATGAGGTTTTTGTGATTTATCTGGCATATTTCCATAATGGGTTTCCATAGTGTGGCCGTTATTTCTCCTACAGCGCACACACAAAACTTCAAGGAATCCTAGGTTTCAAGAAAGGTCATTTTCATGATGAGAAGCTGCCGATTGACCAAACTGACCTTATATACTGTCCATAATTCCTTTCACATTCAACCAAAGGAACGACGTTCCCTGACCTTGCCTGGGTTATTCCGGAAGCTGTCAACTGTCAGGGACGCGTCCGGGGTGGAGGGGGCCCGGCTGTAGCGCCCGACGGAGGGACCCTCTCGGGGGACGAAGCGGGCGCGCGTACTGACGGGCCCGATCTGGGACTGTAGTCCCTGGCCACTTAGACTGAAGTGGAAAACGTGAATTGTTATTAAAAGGAAGAACTACACTACTTACCTGAAGTGGAAAACGTGAGAAGAAGGTTACTTCTTCAGTTCCCACTTCAGGTACATTTATGTACATGCGGCTTGGGTCACATGACGGGTGCCACGTCATCTACGGAGAGGGCCGCAGCCATCCGGGTATCCCCACGGGGGATCCCAAGGGCATCCGCTGCAGGTGTGCATGCTGGGCGTAGCGGGAAGTCGTCCGGGGTGTCCAAGCCGGACGTGTCAACAGTACAATGATACAAGGGAAGGTGGTCCGTGTAAATAGAAAGAATAAACAGAAAGGGAGAGTGAAATAAAGGAGAAAGAGGAAAGAGGGAAGAGGGAGGAAAGGGAGGAAGGGGAAGAGGGAGGAAGGATGGGTAGCGGGGAGCGGGTGAGCGGGTGAGCGGGTGAGGTGGGCCCAGGTGGGCCCGGGTGGAACTGGGTCAGGCAGGTGTGCCCTGACATCAACTCACCATCTCAGCTCATCCCAACCCTCTTTGCATGTCGCACCATTGATAAGGTGATGAATTTATGCCGGTGGCTCACATTGGAACTTTGGGAGACCTTGCCCTGGAATGATGAAAGAAACCACCGAGTCGTGGCAAAAATGGTCCGATCATTTCATGCCGAGTTGGATGACATTGACTGTAAAGATGTGCTCAATGCCCTCAATGAGGGTACTGCCCGGTATGTCGTGGCGACTATCAGCGCTAATGTGGGGATTGATATGATGGTCACAAATGTCATTTGTGTTGACCTCCCGGACTCACTGGAGGAATTGACACAATGGGCAGGGAGGGCTAGTCGGGATGGGAGCGGGGGGTTGCTAGTAGTGCATGCAAGCAAAGATCTTGAAGTTGTCCCTGATGAGTTCCGGGATCTGGACACCTATGTCCCTTCAAGGATGAAGGGTTTTACCACCGCGAAAATTGAACACTGCAATGCCAAACAAGCAGCGACTCAGCCAGCACTCATAGAATTCTTCAATTCTCGTCCTGGTGAATGTCCTCACACAGTGTTATGCCATTATTTTGGAGACAATTACATAAAGCCGACACTCTGCTGCGGAAAATGCAATCCGGAACTTTCCACACGACATGAAGAGTCTGTGAAAGACTATGTGGCCATTTTGGGAGGGACAAAACCAAAAAGAGGCATGCAGGCAAATCGCTTGCCTGGCGAGAGTTTCCGAAAGTTGACAAAAGACCTCAAGCATTATGCACTAAAGGAGCTCCTCAATTGGCAGCACTCAATGTGGCGAAAGCGCACCCTCACAATCGATTTCTCAGATGTCACTTCCCCAGAAGTCATCCTGGGTGAGAGTGATGTAAAAGCCCTAGCCGATCGGCTCCACAATGCATCGACTAGACAGCGATTTGATTTCATAATTCGAGAATGGGTGTCAGTTGTCCCCCTGACAGCGATAGAGTGTGATGAGCTCTGGAGAAAAGTGCAGCAGCTCAACTCAGAGATCCAGGGTGTCCTTGTTGAGCAGGAGAATGGACGGAGAGAAGAAGCCCAGGCAAGGAAGCTATTCAAGACGAAGTCGAAGGGGGTGTTGAAACAAACCAAGCCACAGGGTACAAATGAGGGGCAGAGCATGCAGGGAAGCTTAGTGGCTGAGCAGGTTGCAGGAGGAGTGGGTGAGATGGGATCTGTGGCGTCAGTAGCGGACAACCACCCAGAGACGAATGTACTGCAGGTTGGGTTGACGACAATCCCGATTCCCGGGCATGGAGAACAATGTATCCCGGGTCCATCAAACCAAGCGGTAATCAGTCCAATGGAAATGCACATTAGCGCACCAACTGTTGGTGAGGATGAAGGAAGATCAAAGCGTACCAAGATTCGGTCAGAACGAGGAATGATGATGGACGAGGCAGTGCTTCAAGCTGAGCTTGCGAAGCAAACTCGCAAGCAGAAGAGCAAGGAAGCTGTATGAATTAGATAGTTCTATGATACATGCCTATCCAAAAAATTGTTCAGAGCCCCATCACGCAACTTTGCATACCCGCGTGAAAGTGCATCAATTGCCAAATAGGATTGGGTTCGGTTAGGATGGTAAAGATGATGTTGCTGAACAAGGAAAGTGTGGCCTAGCAAGTTGATATCCACGGCCAAGTCAGCGGTGTAGGAGAAATAACGGCCACACTATGGAAACCCATTATGGAAATATGCCAGATAAATCACAAAACCTCATATGACAAGTAGATATGAGAACATAGAAGGACCTGAATTTTAACGAATTTTACGAATTTTTACGAATTATTATGACTATACACGATAAATCGAAAGAAAGAAAAATAACAAAAATACTTCAAGCTTACCATCAACGAGACGGAATTCTCGGGGGAATTTATAGCAAATATTAAACCAAGAATTAGGACAATCGACCAAGATTTGACTATAAAAATAATCAGAGAACCTCCACGGAAACTACTTTCCCACGTCCGCACACGTAGCAAGGATGGAAGTACCACGGAACAAAGATTCCTCAGGAACTAATGCAAAAGTCAAAGTCGTGTTTATAATAGGAAATGTAGATGTCACCCAAACGGAACCAATGAGAGTAATTACAGGGGAAACTACCCATAAACGACGGAGATATGACTAAAACTCCTGCAAAACGAGGACAATGTCTAAAAAGCAAGCGCGAAGATTAACTAGTAACGACCGAGACAAGCTTGATAGCCCATTAAAAAGGAAAGGATCTACTCTTAATCCTCCCAAATTTTCATAATAAAAGGATCATGCGTTAATGAGAAATCCAATAATGGGAATAGCGACATCAAAAGTCCGAGCTCAGGGACAAGATGATGATTGCGTAGGATCCATAATTAAAACATACAACGAAATTTACACGGAAATTATGAAAAATAGGAAACTATAGTTATGCAAATTCTCAGCCCAAACGGTCCAGCCGTTGTGAAGTTATACCCATGATGGGAATATAGGAATCCGCATCATGTGTAATGACACGTGAGGGTGGCGATGCGCAGGGAACCGGCCGTCGGAACCGAGATCCGCACTTCAGCAGATCGCGAAGACCAATTTCCGTCCAAATAAGGAAGAGCCCGGTCAAAACAAAGCACGGAAAGTGCAAAACAACCTTAGATCATGAGGGAAAAATCTGAAATAAATCACAGAAGCCCATATGAAAGAAATAAACACCTGCGCATATCATAAATCCCGAACAAATAAACGAAAACGGCTCCCGCATACGAACGACGCACGTGATTACCAAATGTGCGCGCGAATCTTTGCTAACTCAACGAATACCAGGAAATAGGACACAATATTAGTACCATTGGAAAGGTGGGAATAAATGAAAATTTATGATACTAAGAACGTGAGAAAACATCCAGAAATGAATGAGATACAAGGACATGAAGTTAGAAACCTGAAAATGCGCGGGAAAACAGCTTCAAGAGGTCCAGAGTCCTAAATAAAATAGATAAAAATATGATATCTTCAAGGACAACCTACTATAACAACCAACGATACATATGGAGGATTAGGATGTGATAATACAAAAGGAAATCAGAGAATATGAACAAAATTCACGAAAACCACTAAACTACGACGGACCATGGCGGGAATTTTAGGGAACAATGTTCTAATGAAGTAGAGAGCTATAACACATTCGTTTGAGTAATTCTTGATTACTAGCAACTTTTTCTTTCAGTTTTAAACCTGAATAATTCACTCATTTATCATTTCAGTCTCATTTTAACTAAATGTCACTAAATAAAATTGGAATAAATCAGCTGAAGGTCTCAGCACAGTCGCACGCATAGTAATGCGAGGTTTGAATTCAGTATGACCGAGTCATAGCGAACTTAATGGGAAATATGGGGAATTTGAAATAGGGAACTGCGGCAAATGCGGCGCAGACAAATTCTAATTAACCATTAAAATAGCTTAGGCGAGGAAGGACAATAAGGATTCCAGGCACAGTCTGACCGCAGTAGAGCCGCAGTTCAGCGCAGCAAAGCGTAGTGGAACTATAGCGTGAAAATTTCACTTTTTATTCAGTTTGAGAAAAATACACTGTAAATAAATCCTGTAAATAGAAGGTAGAGCGTGAAAAAGGAAGGCGACCCAAGGAGTATAAAAGGGAGACCCTTTCTGCGACTTTTCGCCCCCCTCAGAGAAGTAAGAAAATAGAGTATTATTTTTCTCAAGCATTTCTGGTTGTCACTCCAGTGCGAAAAAGTGATATACAGTTAAGATTGCCACTGTAGTAAAAGGCAGCAATTAAGGAGAGAAATATTAAGTAGATATTTCAACAGGAGAGCTGGTTAACACTCCAGATTTCAAAGTGTAAACACAAAACAGTTATTTTGCTACTGTTAAAACAAGCGATAAAATAAAGACAAAAATAAAACGAACTCAAGGGACACTCCAGACACCATCCAAATTCATTAACTGAATAGAATCTTTGAAACTTCACCAAGTAGAAGATTAAATTCAAGTTTAAATCCAAATTAAACAACGCTACACAGAATTACACCTAGACAAATTAATAAATTTCAATAAAGAAACAGCTCCGCAGGGCTCGGTTTATCTGTAAGTCAATTCCCAGGAACTTTAAAACTAACCCATAAAAATAGAATTAGCCAAAACACTCGGATTGGTACTTTATTTACAATAAATAACACTAGTACACTTCCCCATCCTAACTAAAGAACCAGGGAACAGCTTGGTGGTGGTCTCGTTTGAACCTCCCAACTGACCTTCCTTCGTTCTCTCCTTCAGCGGTCGTTCGACCAGAGAAAGTCCTGTGGAGACCTAATTTCTCTTTAATTGTATTTGACAGTTGGCCGAGGGGGACAATATTGAGGGAAACAGCTTCACGGATGAATTTTGAGTCAAATCTTGAGAGTCGTCCATTGTGTACTCACTTGATCGCCAGGTTGTGATGCTCCTGGAGCAGATCCCGTTCTTTCCGACCATCAGGGAGCCCTGATGCATTGACAATATACCAATCGAAAACTGCATTCTTTGTTTCCTCTGTAAAGTTGTACCATAAGTCCAGCGCTTGGTGCAGCAACTCATGGCCATAATTGCTTGCTCCAACACCGAAGAACCAGAGTCGCAGCCACTGTTTATGTTAATTTTATGTTAGTCAAATTTCACTGCAGTTCAATTCAGATTCAATCACGCACTTTAATCACCTCAAACATCCGACCGATATCACCATCCTTCACACTACACTTCATCTCCCAGTACTGGAGAAGATCTCGCCAAAGGAAGATGTTGTTGTGCATGAGAACATCACTGCATGCATCGCCCGGTGTCTCAAACACGGAGTGCTCATCATCAAATTCCATGTTGACTGCGCTCGACAAACCAACAAGCTCCTCGGCTTCATTGTCATCAAGATCAATCATTTCATCGTCGATGCCATTCCCTTCACTTCAAACCCCCCCTCGTTCAGTTGCTGCTGATCCATCTGGAATGGGGAATTGTGAGTCTTGTCCTTTATCGATGAAGTTGCTGAAGTATGTGCATGCATCATTTACATCTGGTGATAGGGTCATATATCCCAAACGTGTGGACCCAAATGCATGATAGGTCCAGCGTACTAGCTGGCACAGATTGTTAGAACGGTGCGGATTCGGATGACTCCGGAATGGAATCGGAGACTTAGCGTGGAAGGACCTTGGCCTCAGCGACTCAAGCGGAGCGCTGTGCCATTGCTGGTTGTCCTAGGGGTCCCTAATTTCGGATCTAGCAGAGGGAAAGTCTCTTGGGGGGGAATTCATGTCGATTTCGGACTGAGGTTACAAGTTACTAGGTACATTGTATATAAGGAGGGGTCCGGAATCAAAAGGAACAAGGGTAGGACAAAAGGAGACAAAGGGAGATGGAAAGAGGAACAACACCGAGGGTCAAGTGTTTGACTCAATGGTGTTTCCCAAAGGAGGAATGAAGGGCCAAGGCCCAAGAAGGAAGGAAGGAGGATGGGAGTTGGGAATGGCTAGCTGACTGAATAGAAAGGAAGCAGCAGCCCAAATAAGAATGAGGGAGAATAGCGGAATTGAAATGGACAATGCAATAGTTGCAAGGTCCGGAGTAAGTCCGGAAAGTCCGAACTCGGAGGTTAAACTCCGGAATATTGGCAAAGGTAATTAAATGGAATGAGCTAACCAATACAATGGGTATAAGCGGAGGTGGGGTCAAAGTCCGAGGTCGGAGCTAAGACCGGAGGTTCCGGAGATGGAGACGCCAACGGGATTCCGGAGCGGAGGTCCGGAGTCGGGGACATAGGTGTTGCGTACTCGTCTGGAAGGTGTCGAGGTTGGGGTCGGACCCGGAATGTTCCGGAGTCGGACCAAAGGTGGTGTCCGAGCCAGAGGTGGGATAACCTCTTGGGAGTCGGCAAGGAGAAGGTGATGGAAGGGAAGTAGGGCTCCGGAAGTCGGAGTTCGGAGTTCCGGGAGCCCGGAGCGGAGGTCGGGATTGTATGGATATGACACAGATCCTTGAAGCTACATGAGGACAAATAGTAGCCTTCCTTTGTATACGCTTCAAGCTCCTCAGTAAGGTGCATCGAAACATACACTGTGAACTGTGATGTGAGTAGGTCTTACCTGAAATAATTGAGTGTCATTGCTGTAAGTATGACTTCAACCAATCTTTCCATGGGATAGAAGTCAACTTTGTGTGGGTTCAGGTTTCGGCGAAGTTTATCAGCGGCAAAGCGAAGACCAATATCACCCTTCTCAGTTTGTTCAGGCCAATGGGCCTTGACAATTCCCTTCAGCATGGCAAACTTCATATGCCAAATCTCAATGAGAGGTAGGATGTAACGGTTGGAAGAGAACCAGGTTGTGCCTGAGGATGTGTGTGGCTTCAAAGTTCGAAGGTGTGAAATTGTGGCTTGGTCTCCTGAGAAAGGAATTAATCGCCCATCAAGTGCTTCAGGTGCAATGCCCAGCTGTCTTCCCACAATATCGCGGATTGTGTTCCTGTTCCCAACTGTAGTGGCCTCATCAAATCCGGATGTCTCCAGTGGGATGACCTCTGCTTTCTGCAGTGGTGTAGGGTGAATAGCAAAAGCTTGGCGGAATTTGTCAAAGTCCCTTTCGTGGCGCTTGAGTCCTGGTACATGCTTGAGTAAGATGCAGAGTATATTAACGACACAGGTATTTTCGAGGTGCTCCTGGTTGATGTCATTCCAGACTTTTGACAGCGTGACATCCTCGCGTTTGATGCATCGTTGACGCAATTCATACTCGATGCCATCAAAGGCATCTGATGCAACTCCGGGTTGCATGATTAAGGTTGCAGCAGTACCGCTTTCAAGTGATGTTTGTGAAGCAAGGGAAGGGCGCCAATTTTTGTGGTACTGATTGATATTATCATAGACAACATGGAAAGAGGCCAACCTATCCACCCACTGGGACCCTATGTGGCGAATCTTCTCGGAAGCAACCGTACTCATTGAGTAGAGCCGTCGAAGGGTTGAACTGTACACAACTGCCAGTCCTACCTGACTGACAATAGACTGAAGTGACTTCTCTGTGTTCTCAGAGAACATAAGTATGCCCATAATTGATTGAAACTTATTTAGGTTTTTGTTGCGAAAGTATATGAGCATCAATAGCACAATAGAGCACCCCTTCACTCAAAGGTATATTAGCAGTTTATGTAAAGTCTTGGAGTGATAACTGACCAAATAAGGATCGCATACATGGTTTGACCCCAGTCCTATCTCGCTATCTTGGGATTTTGTGTCCTTTAGCTTAGTTGCTCGTTCATCCCCAACAGCAATACATGTCAACATTGTCCATATCACCGGTGAAACCTCCATGGACATCTGCTGTACTGCACTTGCTGAGAAATCTAGTACTGTATCCCAGCTGAACTCAGTGGTTGTTGGGTCTGTTGTCCTCAGGTAAGGATGTTTGACAAGCCGCTTGACCTCCACTTCCATCCAATCAATAACTCGTGCTACAAAGTAAGACTGCAACTCCATATAAGTGTTCTCATCTTCCACTGGAATAGTTTCTGGAAGAGAGTAGTCCAATGGCAGGGCATATTCTGGTAGTGGAACATGTTTTGGCTCGTAGGACTGATTAGGTCGCACCCAAGGATGTGTGTATATTGCGTTGACAACATCTACTGGGTGAGCACTTTTGGTACGTCCCCCAATGAACCACCATATAGACTTTCTGGCTGAGGCACTCAAACCCATAGGATCTCCGAACATCGTAACAAGAAACTGCCCGAGAGTGAGACCATGGGATTTTAGGATTGACAGAACTAGCTCAACTATGGCCAGTGATCCAAGCTTAGGCAAGTTAGTACTGGCGTTAATTTTTTGTATTGCTGAGCTGTAACACATAGCACATCTAAGACCCCCATCAAACTTTCCTGTGGTTGATTGCAGGACATTGGCCATGTCAATCTGAACAGTTTGCCACATGCCACAAACATCAGAAAAAGGTGAGGATTTGGTCTGTGGATTTATATTAGTCAATCTTTTTGACGGTGATAGCGGTTCCATAGGAGTCATGTTTTGGGCTTCTTGACCCAGTGACAAGCATGGTGAGTAACAGTTTTGTAACTCTTGTTGAGCCTGACCAGATACACCCTTATTTTTATGGGTCCACTTGGCTGGGAAAGGATGCTCCTCTGTAACATGTCGTTTTGGGCGACCTCGAGTTGGGAATATGGGAGCTGGGAATGGTACATGAGAGATAAACGGGTCATCATCTGGAGTGTCCTCTGGGAGTGGTGCAGGTATTCTATAGCCCGAAGTGTTCCTGGCATGCCCTGGCATATGGAAGCCTGGCAGGACTGGGATTTGGATATCATGAGGGCTCATACTGAATGTGACAGGAGCGGTTTGTGCTTGTTGGGCTGTGTTTGCACCGAAAGTTCACAAATACACAAACAATGCCAAGTCCCCAAGCCTGCCTGAGCAATTCATAAATCTTTATTGATTATCTAAACACAGCAACGACAAAGACCCTTTTCCACCCATGATGACCCATTCAGTAAAATTGAACATATTGCGAGGCTGAGATTGATCCCAGCCTCTATCTTCTATATTCCACTATAGAGGCTGGGGTCCTGCCTAGGTTTTGTCAAAAAATGTAACTCACTAATCGTGAACATTATGTAATTGACTAGGACACATGGTGGGAAAAAAAAAGTTCCCATGGTGGCAGGGTTCCCACGAATTGTGAGCCAGAAGTGACCTTGCAAGCAAGGTACATAATGTATAAGGGAGGAACTTCTTAGACTTTTCTCCCTCAGATCTCTTATTCAAGCCTGAGGTGAGAACTATTTTACTTTATAACTCTTGTATAACTCTTGTCACAGTCTAACATGACATAGTCTTTATTCTGATAAAAGGGTGTGTTTTTGAGTGTGATTGTGGGTTATGTGAAGAGTGTTCCTAGTACTGCCTGTACAGTCATATTTTGTCTATAGGTTTAGTCTACTGAGGCCCCTCTTCTAACAGATACCAAGAGAACCATATAATGATGTGCACATGCATTAGGCGCCTACTGTATGCAAGTGAAGATGCGCTCTCCTAGCCATTTTTTGCTTACAGCAACCATCAAAAAAATCTGCGCGTCAGATTTGGATGCATGACCCGAGTTGGATCTCGTGATTGTCCAAAAATGGTCGGAAATCAGGGTCAATTTCAGTGTCAATACATTCGGCATTTAGCGCTCGTGGTGCGGGGGTCTTCAGGTTCGCAAGCGCCTCTTCCGTACTCATGTGAGGCATGGATAATAATGATATAGCATGAATACTAAGAGCGTCGTCGGCCACGGGTCTCAGCAAAGGTGGTCAGGGGATTCCTGATAAGGCAATACTCAACTCGATCAATCAGAGGTAAGCTAGAAACTATCTTGTCAACGCACGTCTGTGTGTATTTATACATACACGAAATGTATTACAATGTGAATATATGTAAAATAGGTAACTGCGCAAGCGCGCATATGCAAGCATGAATATCCTGGAATTATCTGGGGATTTCCCACAATAATCCAGAATATTCCGGCAGGTTCTGGTCACTTGCGGATTCCAACAGGATTACAGAGATCCTCGTGGATGGTGCATGCAGACAGCTGGGTTACTGCTGAAATATCGTGTGTGCTCGTTGAGTTAGGCATCGTGATGATTAGATCCTTCGCTGCAGGTTTGAGGTGTCTGCCCACTATATGCATGCGCAGCCTCTATAACAATAGAACGATGAGTAATATCCTTTTTTGGTGGTGCCATTGGGACACGGTGATTTTTTCCCTAAATCGCAAATCACATGTTTTGCCTGATATATCCATCAAGATTTGACGCGCAGATTTTTTTGTTGTTTAATGTTTTCATTTCACGAGACTAATCACGGGGCAACAATCGAACTCGGCCCAGCCAACACTATGACTTCCCCTGGCTCGATCACCCCGATGCGCCTGTCTCAGCACCGCACTTGCCCCTTTGCCGCTTTCATGAGTTGCTGCGCAACCTGACCATTTGATGGACCCAGGGACCGTGCCTCAGTCGTATGCTGGGTTTTCTGGCGCGGATGCACGAAGCGGACCACACCAGCGGAGGTACGTACTGAACCTCACTTATCACGAGAGTGCTCACGACAATTCAGGCCGTGCTTATAAAAAGGGCTTTCACAGCGCCCCCTTTTCCTTCCTTATCGCCTGAATCTCTCGCGACTCTCGTGGTGCGTACAAGGCCAACTTGCTGCTGTTCTTTCGAACTCACTCTCGTGATTTTGCCGCTGCTGCCGCTACTGCCTCCCTGTTTCCCTTGCTGCTTTTCCCCCTCGACTCGCGCATATCCGTTGCTGCAGTCTCACACTAGTTTGTTTTCGCCTCTCCCACCCCCTCCCCTTTCACCACCGATTACTTCGTTTCGTTTCCGATCTTGCGTGTATTCTGTTTCCATATATATCTTTTTCTGGTTTCCACCCGTTCCGGAGTTTGCATGTATTGTTATTTAATGGAGGTACGAGATTAAATTAGACTTGTGTGCAGTTGGACTAAGCGCTCTTTTTTCGCGCATGGCACATTACCCGGTGATGCCTTCATCTTATGCGCCGTACCCGCTGTCGGCCTTACGCATACTGTGTCTTCCGAGGCTACAGTCATGCCGATTCAGGTTTTATTGCCGCTGCATACCTGAGTCGATTTCTTCGGACGAATTCCGTACGTGTTTATTCGTCCGCTCACGCTTCTGGGCTCTGGCCCTCTTATTCCTCAACCTCTGCTGAAGGCGTTTTCTTTGTTTCTTTTTTAGTCTCATTTCTGTTAGCCTGAAAAGCGATTTTTGTCGTAGTTTTCTCTCGGAGTCCCTTACTTCTGGTAAGCGTTTCGGTCTCACTGAGCAGGGGGGGTGTTGTGACCTCCGGTTACTCTCGGTGGGTTGGATCCCGAGTGCTTACTCTAGTTTTTTCTAGGTTTCTTTATTTTCGGTTGTTCCCTTGTTTTTGTAACCTCGGTTCTTCTCCTCCTTGTTCTTCCTCGTCCTTGTTTTTTTCGCGTTGCCCTCCTCCTTCCCCAATCTCCATCCTTGTAAATTACCCGGCTCGTCTTCAATTCCAGAGGTTCTGGCATTTGCCGGGACTGTCGCCACGCTATTCCATTGCGTCTCCTCCGGCGTGCACACAAGTTACTATCATCCGTTGTTCTACTTTCTTGTGTATTTCTGTTGTTTTGTCTGGAACTTCTTTGTACTTGTAGCCGGTTCACGCGTGTCTCGCGCCGCTTGCTTGCTCCCAATACATTCTGGGCCTCCTGGGCCGTCTCCCGCTACGACCTCAGTCAACCCTGATTAGTTGACGGTTGCTGTAATTTGAAATCAGATAACCCAATGGGCGCAAAATGGGGCGGCTCCATTTCCATTGTTCATATGACTTGTTAATCGCATAAAGGACACTCCATCATGTCTCCTCAGTTCCCTTCCTCGCCCACAGCGTTCTCCCAAAGCCATGCACCTAGCCGCTTATCTATTCCAAGCACTTGGTCTCCTCTCCGGATATTTCCAAAATTGGTTGCTATCACCCAAGTACGCCCTAAACTCGGATCTCAGGTCGAACTGTTCTGATGCACGCGCTCATTACCGCGATCGGCCCCTCTTTAGTGGCACCCTTTCCACTACGACCGAGAAGCTAGTGGCCCCTAGATTTCCTTATGGAAGCAAAAAAGTGCGTGGTGTGAACATCGGCGGATGGCTTGTCCTAGAGCCGTGGATAACTCCATCACTTTTTGATAATACGGGTTAGCATGATGTACCTGCTGGCTGCTTAATGTGTCGCGCTCAATGACGGCCACAGGTAACAATAATATCGTGGACGAGTGGACGTTCTGTTCTTTGCAGGACAGACCTGCTGCGGCCACCACTTTGCTAAATCACTGGAACACTTTTTACACAGAGTCCGACTTTGCTGCTATCGCTGCAGCAGGCTTGAATCATGTTAGGGTCCCTATGTGAGTTGGCCCCCCACGTTTTATGGGTGAAGACATTTGACTATCGAGCTCTCAGCGGGTATTGGGCATTTGACACGTCGGGAGGGGAACCATTCATCAATGGGCAGGTGCGGAATAGTGTGTCGATTACCTTGTAATATCACTTATCCGTCCAATGTTTTCAGTATCCATATCTTCTTAGAGCTGTTGGCTGGGCCAGAAATCATGGTCTATTTGTGATCATCGACCTGCATGGCGTTCCTGGATCCCAGGTGAATAGTTGGAACTTCCGAAATTACTTTGTTGCTTACTCGCAGCAGAATGGCTTTGACAACTCTGGCCGTAGGGGTCTTGTTAACTGGCCGAATCAACAATCTAACATTGATCGCACCAATGCCATGATCAAAGCCCTTGCAGCGGAGTTTTCTCAGGCTTCATACGCCAATGTCGTCAGTGCTATTCAGCCGTAAGCCAAACGCGCGAGCTGTTGTCGTTGATGAAAGCTAACTTTGAAGTTTTCAATCCTGAAAGAATCAATGAACCGGCGGGGTTCGTGGGTGGTAACATTCTTCCTGTAACTCGTCAATACTATTATGACTCCTACGGCAACATTCGAGTAAACGGGGCTGACGTAGTTGAGGTCCTCCATGATGCTTTCCAGGATCTCTCTTTTTGGAATGGTGTCATGCCATATCCAACGTTCAACAACGTCTTGATGGACACGCACCATTATCAAGTAGGCACTTCGTAATAATAATGGGAATGATCTCGACTTTCTCCCCTTAGATTTTCAGCACTGCCGATCTTGCAAAGACTTGGCCACAGCACATTATCGTAGGCGGTGATTAACGTGCCTTGTCTGTTTTATTGATTCACCGCTCTAGACGGCTTGTCAGCGCGGCAATGCCATTGCCTCGTGGGCGCAAGCAACCGGAAACCTATGGACGATCGTTGGAGAGTACGTGTCCCTCAACTGATAACTCTTCTCCCACACAAACCAGCCTTTCGCAGATGGACAACGACTCCTTACGATTGCGCCAAGTACCTCAATGGTCGAGGTCTTGGATGTAAGCCGCCACTAGGAGCGCTCGCAAGTTCTATGTTGCTGAATAACTTTCAGCTCGTTACGATGGGACGTATTCTGGTTCCTCACCGCTTGGGGTTTGCTGGCCATTCACTGGATCATCGAGCATATTCAATAGTGGTTACAAGGTGCGACTGCCCCAGCATCACCCCTGTGTATGTCAACCAATTCAGTGCAACGCAGGTATTCATGCGCCAATTTTTCGAAGCCCAGGTAAGTCAACCGTATGCCAGTCACTTCTGCATCTGACTCGTGCCAAAACCTCAGACGAGCTCTTTCGAGAAGGCAGCCGGATGGATCTACTGGGCATGGAAGGTAATCGCCTGTATCACCTTTTTCCGCTTTAACGCTTTGAGATCAATTCCTGTGCATCAAGACCGAAGCCACAGATGAATGGAGCTACCAACAGGGTCTTGCAGGAGGCTGGATCCCCTACGACCCTACACAACGCCTGTACCCAAATATCTGCCCCTGAATTTCATGAAGAGTAATGACTATACTATTGCTTACATATATACCGCCGCGTGGGTTACAATCAATCTTTCTTTCCCCCAGTGTACGAGTATCCCCGCTGAATGCTACATAACAATACGTCTGCGCGTTGCTCTCCTCGATCTGGGCTATACGCACTTGTACACTGACTCATGCATCTACTTTAGTAGAGGCTGGGATCCTGCCTATTGCATTCGGCGCTTAGATGACCAACTTTCTATCATCACGTCCACGTCGATGATTCCACAATCTTCACTAGTGCTCGCACATGGGCCATGCCAAGGGAGAACTCAAAGGGTAATTTGACACCCGCAACCTTGGTGAGCTCATTGAAGTGACGCGAGATCGCATGCGCAAGTCCATCCTCAGTCATCGTACTACACACGAAGTCCGATTCCGGGCTTAGGAAGTCGAGTATGAATCGTGGTGCGATAGCGTTGTCGTGCGATCCCTAATTCCATGGCCGCAGTCATCATCACTTTATTCTGAACGTGGAAATATTTCTATTTTGCATATTCATCCTGAAGAAAACTTAGCTGACGTTTTTACTAAACCCCTGCGTTTACTAAACATGTATCTTCACTGACCAGCGACGTAATGTTGGACAAGCCATGACGACTCCACGGTGCGCATATCAGTCCCTGATATTTACTAGAGCCGCATTTGTGCACCATTCCGCGGACGAACCGGGTGGTGTGCAGAAGGATCTTCAGAGCAATTGGGACAGATCGAAAGTTTTATCATCGGTGTCGGCTAGCAGGGTGGCCCCCTTGGGTGCACTCGCAGCAGGAATGATGGCAGGTGAATAGAGAATGCTCAACTGATTCAGGCTCTGAACAGGACAATTGGGTGAGTCCACATGTCTCCATCTGGCTAGATAGGGAGTTCGTTCTCCGAGCCCTGTCTGCACAGCATTTGGCAAGTTGCCACTAGAGAGGCAGGCATGCTAGGAGCATGGGGGGCACTGGGCTTGGTGGCTTTTTTGGGAAGTGAGTCGGCTTTTTCATTTCCTGGAATCCTGGGACCCACTCGAAGTGAATTCATAAGTTGGAATGTGTGATATGTATGTTTTCGCACTTGTTTAGAATTTTTATAATGATGGGTTGGCCCGATTGATGCCCTGGTGGACGTGCGATAGTTTGATGGCTAGGCAGATGAAGGACCCCGGCATACACCGACAGAGGTCCGATCCGAGATTCTCTAATTTGGCCCTCAAAATTTGAGCTCTGGTATCCCAATTGGGCCCTCTGGCGCGTCGGACCTTCCAAAAATAGCTGATTCGGCCCTCAAAACGCTCGGACATTCATTAAAAAGCTGTATGATGCGCTGCGAATAAAATCATGTATATACAGGGAACAAGTGTTCTACCAATGAAGTTTGTGCTCTACCGGAGTCACTAGCACCCTTTAAGACGTCGTGCAACTTCTTGATCGTGATCTCAATTCTGCTGCTATCGATTTTGAGCTTCACAACACACATGGCCTCCGAAAATGATCACCATGTCAATTTGTAGTGAATGGAGCATTGACGGCATTGCATCGCATCTCCACTGGAACTCACCACACTGATTGAGCACTAGGAGCACATATCCCGGCTTCGTGATAGGTGGGTCATTCCTACCTGGGACAAAGTTAGAGAAGTGACCGGCATCTTGTGATGCCAACAAGAAAAAGGGTGAGAACAGGTGTACACTGAGATATGAAGGGGCGCCGATTGATGTAACACTTTCAGCATAGTGGTGTGGCAGGTTTTGACCATTATTTCGATAAATTATGATCATTAAGTTTCTGTCAGCTAGTGCCAGTAGGGCGCAATGCCAGATGTGTTAGGGATATTTTTCCAAGGTGAAGGACAAAAACCAAGTCCACGCAGGGGGCTGACGTTTCCCAGCAGTATTTTTTCCTCAATTTGATGCAAATCTTCCGAAGCAAACCAGCATTGACAAGCGGTAGCCACTCTGTGTGTTGGAAGTTAGTGGCAACGGCAGCCAGCCCCAATGCCTGAACATGTTTGTTACCCTCATCACTGACTTCGGGCCTGATTGGTTCCCCACTCCGTGGTTATTGGGTCAAGTGAATACCGACATGCAAAGTTGAGGAATGTACTAAAGAACCACAGGGAAGTGCTGCCCAGGGAACTGAGAGTGGGTAACCGAGAGGTAAGTACCTTTTTCTCTCCGGACATGAGAAGGCTTGTCCACGGGGAAGCCCATCTGATAGTTGTCCTTCTTTCTGAAAATGGGTATGGGTGGGAGAACCGAGATAAAAGTTGGAACCCCATAGAATTTTTCTTGCAGTCCTGGTGCCACTGGCGAACTTGGACACATCTTGCTGCAGAACGGAGGTTACCGTCTAGGCCCTCTTCCAGATCAAAGTTCGGCCTACCTTCCTTAAAAGGCCCTCCCCTGGATATATCATTTTGCGCCAAAAAGACAGTTTCGGCCCTTCCCTGACTCAGACCTCAGGCACTTGTGCACGATTTTCGGCCCTTTCCTGGATCGGGGGGCCTCCGGAGTATGCCGGGGTCCTACAGATGACGACCTTCTTTGGGTCATGGATAGAATGGAGGTGAGGATTGCCGAGCCTCTGAGAACTAGAAAGCCTGTGAATTGGCGAGTACGCTCATACTCGTAGCTTTGTCCATTCTAGAGCCATCTGTCTAGATGATGAATTCCCTGTTCCCGAGTGTGAAATCCTAGTGTCGCCCAATTGCTTCCTGCCTAAAGGAGGGGGTCCCATGATGCGTGGATAATTAATTCCATATAGGGCTAACGGTGAGATCTGACGTTGTGTCTTGGGCAGCAACGAGCTAGGGCAGCTGCCAGGCCTGGTTGCTAAGCAAGAGCATGAGCAGTCTGGCGGAGGGGAGGCCGCTGTCATGTTGGAGGGCCTCAAGTGGGGTGGGAACGTGTGGAATTACATAAAGAACGTGACCAGGAAAGAGATGGGAAGAAGAACTTGAAGAGGAGACAAAGAGCAGGAGCGAAGAAAGCGTGACTTGTATCACAAAAGAGGAAAGTGCATCACGTACAAAGCATAACGTGGAAAAACGAAATAGGAAATAAGAACACGTAATTTCTGTGGTTTCAGCGTCAGCTTTTTACTAATATCGGTTACGTCGAGAGACTCTGTGTGCGGAGTATCCCTGCTGACTGCTACATAACATCAGTGTGGGAAATTGCTGGTCTCAACTAAGCTTGCCGCCCTGCCTCTCGCTTCCTTTGCACTCCTCCCAATACATGCGAGAAGAGCAGCCCGTTTCTATGTTCTCTTCATGTGACCTGCCCAGCACGTAAAAGGCGGTTTGCTCTCATCTTGCTCCCCCAAAGCCATGCAGCTAGCCACTTATCTGCTCCAGGCTCTTCATCTCCTCTCCGGATATTTCGACAATTGGTTGCCCTCGCCTAAGTAGGTCCAAGCACCTGTCTCGAGTTGGACCGTTCTGACGCGTGCCCTCGTTGCCGCGATCGCTCTCTCTGCGTCTTCTGTAGTGACGCCATTCTTGCATCGACCGAGAAGCTAGTGGACCCTAGATTCCCTTATGGGAGCAAGAAAGTGCGCGGCGTGAACGCCGGTGGATGGCTTATCTTGCAGCCATGGGTAACTCCATCGCTTTTCGATAATACGGGTCAGAATGATGTTCCTGTTGACTGTTTAGTGAATATTGCGCTCATTGACGGCCGTAGGTAACATCAATATCGTGGATGAATGGACGTTCTGTTCTTTGCAGGACAGACCAACTGCGGTCACCACTTTGCTGAACCACTGGAACACCTTTTACACAGAATCTGACTTTGCTGCTATCGCTGCAGCAGGCTTGAATCATGTTAGGATCCCTATGTGAGTTGACCCCATGCCCCATTACTGATAACATGTGACCACCGGACCTGAATCAGCGGGTACTGGGCATTCGACACATCTGGAGGCGAACCGTTCATCACTGGGCAGGTGCGGGACAGTGTTTCGATTCCCCTGTTGTGTCACTTATCCACCTAATTGTTTCAGTCTCCGTATCTTATTAGAGCCGTTGGCTGGGCCAGAAATCATGGTCTATTTGTGATCATCGACCTACATGCCCTTCCTGGATCCCAGGTGCGCAATTGGGACTTGGAATCAGAACGGTTTTGTTACTCACTATGCGGCAGAATGGGTTTGACACCTCCGGCCATAAGGGTCCTGTTAACTGGCCAAATCTACAATCCAATATTGATCGTACCAATGCTATAATTAAAACCCTTGCAGCGGAGTTTTCTCAGGCTTCATACGCCAATGTCGTCAGTGCTATTCAGCCGTAAGCCAAACGCGCGAGCTTTCCTCGTGGATGGAAACTTACTCCGAAATTTTCAATCCTGAAGGGTCAATGAACCGGCGGGGTTTGTGGGTGGTAACATTCTTCCTGTAACCCGTCAATACTATTATGACTCCTACGGCAACATACGAGTAAACGGGGCTGATGTAGTTGAGATTCTTCATGATGCTTTCCAGGATCTCTCTTTTTGGAACGGTGTTATGCCATATCCAAACTTCAATAATGTCTTGATGGACACACACCATTACCAAGTACGCACTTCGCGATAATAATCCGGTGGCCCCAACAATATCAACAGTATTGCCCTTTGTCGTCCCCTTAGATTTTCACCGATGCCGAAGTTGCATTGTCTTGGCCCCAGCATATTACCGTAGGCTATCGGACGATTTGCGCTCTCTGTCTATCTCTATTGATACGCCGCTTTAGACTGCTTGTCAGCGCGGCAGTGCTATTGCCTCATGGGCCAATACATCTGGAAATTTGTGGACGATCGTTGGAGAGTAAGTATCCTCCACGGACTTGTAACTCTTTTCCTATCTGGGACTTCACAGATGGACGACGACTCCTTACGACTGCGCTAAATACGTCAACGATCGGGGTCTTGGATGTAGGTCGTCGCTAGAGGCAAGTTTTTTGTTGCTCAATGACTTCGCTTCAGCTCGTTACGATGGGACATATCCTGGCTCCCAAATACATGGCGTTTGCGGGCCCTTCACTGGATCGTCGAGCGTATTCAGTAGTGCTTACAAGGTGCGACTGCTCTGGCATCAGCTTTGCTTATACCAACCAATTCATTGCGACACAGACGTTCATGCGCCAATTTTTCGAAGCCCAGGTAAGGATCGACTACTAACGTCGCCATTATTACCATATCTGATTGTGCCAAAACTGCAGACAAGCTCTTTCGAGAAGGCAGCCGGGTGGATTTATTGGACATGGAAGGTAAGCGACCCCTGTTTCTTCTTTAATATTCCGTGATCAACAACTCCGTTGCACCCAGACCGAGGCCACAGATGAGTGGAGCTACCAAAAGGGTCTTGCAGGAGGCTGGATCCCTCAAGATCCTACGCAACGTCTGTACCCTAATATCTGTAGCTGAACGTAATTCCTGCATTGTTGCTTGCACTTCAAATCTGCGGTCTCCTCATGTACTAACGGTGTTTGTGTGTGTGTATTTGTGTAACTCCTAGTGTTTGTCATGATCAGATTGCTGGCTGTCGCCTGAATACAATTTCGGCGTCGTGATCAACGTTATGTTATGCGCATATTCCTGAGCTACGTCAACGACCGCTTCTTACGCGGTGTCGATTTGTGGCTATCCTGCTTACAGCAAAGCGATCATACTCAACGTTCGTTGTACCCCAACAACATCCCATGGAGCCAAACAACCGAATAGCCTATTATGGCTACTATTCGATGAAAAGATTGCATTTTACACTGATCCCAAAATAGTGCTCCCAACTTTATCTTGCGGCGCAAAACGTATGCATCACGCGAGGCTCCTAGCTGGCGGCCTCACCTTACTCCAAACACCTACGTACTGCAAAGCTCGGACGTTGTGTTCTGGACCTTTTTTTTTTGACGGGCACTCTTCTTGGCTTGCAGCCGCGTCTCACGGATTACCGACGATCGTAACGGGTCACAGACAAAAGTACTAGAGATCTCTGGTGTGCCTAACTCGATTGATATCGATCTTATGGTGTGATGAGCGTGCTGACGTGATGGTATTTTTGCGGACGCACCACTGGTCAAGCGTTACGAGGCAACTTTGTAGTTCATTGCCATCTCAGTCGTGTCATTTTTTTCCCCTTGAGCCTTGCGGACAGATGCCGCACGTTGTCCCCACCACCCGATGGTTCCTATTGACACTGGTTTTATTCAATTCAATCCGCGCCAGTGCCATAGCAGTTGAACCTCGGCACGGTGTTCCACCTATACAATTTCCTTTTGGTTACGAAGCGGTGCGCGGGGTCAGCCTAGGTCGGTTTCGATTATTTTTTTCAATTTTTTATTTCTGTTTGTCCTTTTGGCCATTATTTATTTAGGCAGGATCCCAGCCTCTATTATTTATTTAACTGACACACTCGTATCTTTAAATTATTAGGAGGCTGGCTTGTCACTGAACCATGGATAACTCCATCCCTCTACGACGCCACAAGTGAGGAAATCTTTTTCCCCCCTCGAATTCTGCAACCCGCTCTAGCCTCAGCCTGGAGGGACTCGACACCACGCCGCTGATCGTCATTCACTTCAGATAATCCTAATATCGTCGACGAATGGACGTTCTGTCAATATCAGGACTATAATACAGCTCACAAGGCACTTCGATCTCACTGGGATACATTCATTACCGAACAAGATATCGCCGATATTGCTATGGTTGGCTTAAATCACGTCCGAATACCCATGTTCGTTCTTTAGTGCAACACTTCGGGCGATTTTTGGGGGGAACTGATTGCTTCATTCGATGTGTTTAGAGGGTATTGGGCATTTGACATCTCTGACGGCGAGCCATACCATCAAGGACAGGTGCGTACCATCAATGGTCTGTCTGATTTTTAGGTGCTGCGCGACTTAAATCTTGGAACAACAGCTGGATTACCTCTTTCAAGCGATTGGTTGGGCTCTGCAACATGGAGTGTATGTCATGATAGACCTTCATGGTTTACCTGGGTCTCAGGTGAATATATATATACTCTACCCACCCAAAGACGATTACTCCAAATCTGACGCTCGCTCCTCTGTGGACAGAATGGGTTTGACAATTCTGGAAGACGCGGACCTATCCTTTGGGATACTCAAGCAAGTTATTTGAACCGATCGAGGACGATCGTCGACTTTCTGGCCACAGAGTTCTCGAAGCCTCAATATGGCGGAGTTGTTAGTTCTATCGCTCCGTGAGTGTAGTGACATACATACAGTGTTCTTTGGGTGATCTGTTGTTTGGGACTAACTAGAGTGAATGAACCGGGAGGGTTCAACGGGTCTCAACTCCTAGCTGTGACGACGCAATACTATTATGATTCGTATGGTATAATGAGGGAAAGAGGAAGCATTGTGGACCTCTTGCACGATGTGTATCAGGCTCTAACATATTGGAATGATTTCATGCCGGCCTCTTCGGGATATAGCAATGTGATGATGGAGACGCATCATTATGAAGTACGTTCGTGGGGTTTTTTGCGGGAACCTCTAACGATTCGATCGTACGGCTGAGCTTCAGTATTAGCTGTTTTACACGTCGCAGCTCGCTATGTCCTATGAAATGCACCTTGGGGTGAGCCTTGCATCATTTTGTTTTGTTTTCGTGTGTGCAAAGCGTGATGGTTTTTCTCTCTTTTTCTTCTTTTCATTTTAGGCGGCCTGTGCCAGAGGACAGGAGATGGCAGCGTTTGCTCACGGCGCGGGCGGATTCTGGACTATTGCCGGGGAGTGGGTTCAATCTAGCCGTCTCCTTTTTTTTTTTTTTTGCTCACACAGACTCACGCTTTCCACGTTCTTTTCCACAAGGTTCACTACCACGGTGGTTAGTCGTCTCACTGCGTGCATGCATGACATCACTGTGCTTTAACGGTTTATGTCATAATACCCCAAACTTTTCGCAGTATGATTGTGCGACCTACATCAATGGTCGAGGTTTCGGATGTGAGTCTGGAAATTTGATTTCTCAAACAGCAAGCTGCTGCTGTCTTTTTCGTCACTCCGATCGATAACACAGAGCTTACTACAAGTCTCATTCCTAGCGCGATGGGATGGAACGTACCCTGGATCGACTGGGGCACTTGGGAGTTGTGTTCCCTATTCCGGTCCAACGCGTGCTTTTTCACAGGATTACAAGGTCCGTGGGTTCCAATGTAAATCTACATGGCCTAGAACTTTTTGTTTACTGACTAATCTATGGCTGTGACTGTTGAATAGGACTTTATGAGGAAGTATTTCGAAGCGCAGGTGCGTGAGCCGAGAAGGTTGAATGGTGAAAGGAATCTCATTCGGTGGGAAACCTATTTTATCCATGCGAATGTTTTGGGCAGACGATCGCGTTCGAAATGGCAGACGGGTGGATATATTGGACATGGAAGGTTCGTGGAAGGAACGAGGAGATCGTCATTCATTAGTGGAGTGTTTGCTGATTTTCAGTTTTGCCATTTGCGTATACTTGTCTTGTTTTCTGTGCATGTGTGCAACAGACAGAGAGTGCGGATGAGTGGAGTTATTCTGCAGGTGTTGCGGGTGGATGGATACCACCTCGACCGACACAGCGGCTGTATCCTTATATTTGTAGGTGATTACATAGTAGCTAGCTGGTTGCCTCATGGTGGATGCTGGGCAGTTTAGAGTATCTGTCAATATCACGATCGTCGTTATGACGCTGGGGCCGATACTGTGATGGATGCTCGATCCCTGTGATACACGCGCGGCGTCCGTGCGGTAAGAAGAAGTCAGTTGATGATCTTCAGCTTGTGTGACGCGGCGATCTACATGCGAAAATTTGGTGATGATCACCGGGCACTGCGGGGAAACAAAAGAGAGCGGCGAGGGAGTGGGGTTTGCCTCGAGGGGATCATTGGTGGTTCTGTGATATCAAAAGGTGGATTGTTCCTCCAGCATGTATGGACGAACCCCTATGCAGTGGGATCATCTTTGGCGCAGGGCCACACGCTTCACGGAACGTGTCCAACTTTCAATTACAACTAGAACTAAGACAAGGACAAGGACCCGAACATCGGTTCATTCGAGCCGTAGTATCAGCGCGTATTGAGTTTTGATCATGATTGGAATCCGTCGTGATTCCACCTCCAGATATTACGATTAAGTCATGGTTCAAAGAGTGGATGTTCGTATATAACAACCCAATTGGCCTCGTGTCCAAATGTATATACAATGCAGGGGCGTTGGAGAAAGCGCTCACACTTTTGTAGCAACTCATTGGGTGGATATTACCCAATAGGGCTTATTGAATCGATAGACGTGTGGTGGGGGTGGAAGCGATTTTGGTTGGTGTGTGCTTTGGTGCAGGAAGCAAGATGACAGAGCTATAGCGGTTTGGTAGTTCCAGGATTTCAAATAACGTGGGAACTTGATTGACTTCCATGTTCATCTTCTTTGAATGACATATATATTCTTTGGTGCCACGACAGTACTGAGTTCGGTACCTGTGCTCCTCAACTAGTCATCATCTCAAGGGGCAACTGGCTCTCTCCCTTTCTTTCGTCCTTTATCGTCGACGCCATGGCCGCTATTGCGCTCTCTGTTCCACTCGCGCGTATGACGTCGTCAAAGACGAGCATTGCGATTAAAGAGCATCAAAGGAACAACAAACGTCGTGGTAAGCATATGGCTGGGGCCTACAACAACACTCATGTCAGCTTGGTTCAGTCGTATCTGACTTGACCGTTCCACTCTAATGATACAGCCTCCTCCTCCTCGTCTATGACGGGAAGCACGAGACCGTCATTCTTATCTGATCTACGTGCACAATACTCGTCATCCCCCCCGAACGCCGTCTTCATGTCGACCCCTTCTGCGCCTATCACAGAGCTTCAACCGTTACCTCAACCAGTCCCCGTATTCGTTACATCCTCCCAATCTCTCGCCGTACCACTGCTACCATCGTCGGCGGAGTTCGATGGCCAGTCCGAGGATGCCACCGATACTGGAATGGCCGCGACGTCGACGTCGACGTCGGAGCCCACGTCACCGAAGTGGAAATTCAAGCTCCTTCCTGAGAAGTTGATCCATTTTAACCCTTCTAAGGATCCTCGTCTTCTGGCGTTGTAGTCTCGCGCTCGCTCGCGCGCGTGTGCAACGTGCTATCATTGTCATAACGGGTCTTTGTATGATGACTGTTTTTTTTTTCCCCCACTCCCTGTTTCTTTTCCCTTCTGCAGTTGAGCATGATTTTCTTTTTTGGTGATCATGGAACAAAAAGGACAATATTCGACTGGGGATGATAACAACTACTTGACTGATTGATCAAGGCGTATATTTCTTGCATTTCATGTAGTAGTATTTGTACCAACATGCGCGCATTGTTATATTTCTCTCTCTATGCACCGTTCTAGCTATACCTTAATCAATGTTCATATGGTTTTGTTTTCGTGGGGGCGAGTTCCGTGGTTGTTTGATCCTGTGGAGCAGCGTCGGAGCTCGACGTTGTTTTGAATTGGAAAAAACCGCACACGTGATGGGATTGGTTCCAATTGAGTTTCCCATATACGCGCGTCCTGAACCTTTTAAAGAACGGACAAACTGCCAATAATGACGGACGTGTATCGCAACGCTGGATTTGACTTTTCAAACCATCTCAGGTGAGTTGATTTTGACGTGTATTAGAAGTATGGCGATTTACGGATGACATGATTGTGTTGTGTGTGTGTGTGTGTTCAGAAACTCGTTCTTGGAGACTAAGGGAATTCCTGCGCCTAAGGCTACTAGTACAGGGACGACGATCGTTGGGTTGGTTTATAAAGATGGCGTCGTACTAGCTGCTGATACGCGTGCTACGAGTGGACCCATCGTTTCTGACAAGAATTGCGAGAAGGTGAGTTTCTGTAATAACGAAATCGTTTCCACCGACCATCCCCGCTTAATTGTGAAACTCCCCCCGGCCCCCTCCACCTTTTTTTTTTCTTTTTGGGTGGGAGGGTATAGATTCATTATATTACGGATAATATTCGATGCTGTGGTGCTGGGACGGCTGCTGATACCGAGTTCACGACAGCGCTCATTTCGTCTAATATGGAATTACACGCGTTGAATTCTGGACGGACACCTAGGGTTGTGACTGCTATGACTATGTTGAAGCAGTATCTCTTCAGGTGAGTTAGGAAGAAAACAACCAAACCTTTGTGTGTTGTTGCGTCTTGTCGATTCATGACGCGTCTTTCTCTTTTCTTTTCTTTTTTTTTTTTGGACGCTGTTATAGACATCAAGGACAGATCGGAGCCGCGTTGGTTCTTGGTGGTGTAGATGAGACTGGGACAAATCTGTTTACGGTTGCGCCTCATGGGAGCACGGACAAGCTTCCGTACGTGACTATGGGATCGGGAAGTTTGGCAGCTATGGCTGTCTTTGAGAGTCAATGGCAGAAAGATCTTGATGTGAGTGTTTGATTCGTCTTCTTCTTTTGAAACATTGTGTTGTTGACTGATTAATGATTCTTTTTTTTTTTTTTAACAGAGACAATCTGCCATAGATCTTGCAAGCGCCGCCATCTCAGCCGGTATCTTCAACGATCTAGGCTCAGGTTCGAACGTTGACGTGTGTGTCATAACGGCCCAAGGGTCCGAAATGTTGCGGAATTTACATAAACCGAACGAGAGGGGTTTGAAGGAAAAGAATTACAAGTTCCTTAGAGGTACGACGGCTTGGTCGAGCGAGAAGATTAGGAGTCTTGTGGTGAAGGAGGTTCAGACGTCTGTTGGTAGGGATGAGGCGGCGATGGATACCAGTTAAGGCTTGAGGAGGAGAGAGAGGGGACGAGGGAGGGGGCGAACTAATAGTTTCTCTTTGTATTCGTATATTGCTTGTCATTCGAATATTTTTCGTTGGCGCGCTTCAAAGTAACTTGTACGATTTATTTTTTAACCGCCAGTACAATAGTTGCACTTGGAGGAATTGGATGTGCTTTGTGGTGACGCCTGCCGTGGGAAAAGATTTTGCTATCAAAAATCAGCTGCCTTTTCGCCTAACAACTTGAGTTTTTGCTCCCTTTGTCATCTCGGTCTTTGCTAGGCGCGATTAATATCTCCTCTGACTCTTGCTCTTGCGTCCCACTGTTCCCGTTCTCCCTGAGCCACCTTAGTGGGAGCGAGTCCTCGCAACATACTTAAAACTTGAGCGCCTCAGGATCCTCATCGATCTCGCTTACCCCCCGTTTGTCTTTCTTCTCTTTGTGAGTGGGAACCGAACGATTTTGGCTTCTTTCATTGACTCTTTCATTTTGGATCGCCCCAACGATTTGCTGATACTCACCGCTCGCCTTGTTGTTGTTGCTACTGAAAACATTGGATTATTAGGCTCGCGCTGTTTTTTTTTTTTGATTGCAAAAATGTCCGAGTCGAATTCTCGGATAATCACTCAAATGGGAGTGGACACCAGGAAGGAGATAAGTTTGTAAAAAAAAAGGTTTTCCATGCCAAGGAGCTGTTTAGCTGACTGATTTTTTTTTTACTCATTGCATTTCTCTTTTGCGATCGATTTCTACTTCTAATTATGCGGCGGGTGCGCGGTCTTTCCCCTCCCAACGGCGATATCGTCATTGCGAAATTGGTGGTGGTCGTGGGGTTAGATGGTAGGAGAGTGGTGGATGTCAAGTACTATACGAACGTTACGACGACGACTAGGACGGAGACGACTGAGAAGAAGGTGATTCTCAGTGATGTTGAGTTGAGGGATAAAGAAGTTCAGGCGGATGAAGTGTCTGATGAGCATGGAGATGATGAGGCTGCTGCTGCTGCTGCCAGCGAGCACTAGTTTGGAGGATGAACGTGTAGTGTCTGTTGCAAGGTCGTATGGCGGATTCGATACTTGCTCTCAACGTGCCAGTTGGAGGAGAGCGGGCACTAATCGTGGGTGCAAAACTGTCTGTAGCCATACGTATGCAGGCTAGAGCACATTTGTGACCAGACTCCTTCCCAGTCGCTCACATGATTTCTCCGAGGTTTAGCCGCAACTTACGTTGCCCTCCGAAACGCTCGACAGATTTCGGAGGGCAACGTAAGTTGCGGCTAAACCTCGGAGAAATCATGTGAGCGACTGGGAAGGAGTCTGATTTGTGACGTCACGTTGGTGACGAATCGACCACGCCAAACTTAGTTGTCGCTCGACGTGCATGCATAACTGGGCCGCCAGCCTCGTGCCCTTTCCTATTCCTGCATACTTCTCAGTCGATGATTGACCCCGTCTCAGCCGGCGCGCTCTTATAGAATGCTGACCGATGGGCAGACCTTTCATGGTGTCCATTGAGCATACATCATGCACCTGCGTCTATCCGTGCGTTGAAGTCGAGGGGTGGTTTCGCTGAACGGGCATTCAGCGACAAGGGCCTGATTCTCGTCTGCCTCCTGTAGAGGTTGTCTACGCGATCCATAGTAGGGATCGGGCAGTCAATTGCTTTGCCTGTAAACTCGGGGGTTGACCACCACGACATCTTCGTCGTCGTTGTATACGGATTCTACAGTGGGTCTCATCGGGCCAACTTTCTTCCTTCTGGGTCCGGAGGGAAACTTTGTTATGGTTTCCCTTCACGATCTGTCAGAATATTTTCGTGAGGTTTTCTTATGAATCCATCGGCTGCAAGACACTCGCCTTAGAGGTTCGAGTTTCCAAACCACTCACAATGGCGACCTTCTTTCGTGAGGACGGCGATGTCCCTGTATTCCGGTGCATTCCGTGTCGAGCTCGCGCGGAGTACGGAACCCACCTCACCAGGAATCACTGGCCGATGTTAGGGCTTGAGAGGCTCGTCCTGTTGTGCAAGGTTTAAGCCGAGCGCAAACTTGTCCAGTCAGGCACGCGGTGCTGCTAACTTAGACTGCCCATCGCTGCGCGGGCGCCCCGAGTGCCAAGATGGAATTTTTTCTAGCTTTACGGGGGGCGAACACGTTTCTAGGTGATCTCGAATTTCGGGTGATCGATAGGCAATGCAGCTTGCCTGTTAGGGGAAAATGTCGAAATGTCGTCGACCTGCACCGCTTCACCTCAATATTCCATGCTTGGCAAGGCAGAACGTGGTCCTCTAAAAACATTCGGGGATGCACAATTTGTCTCTCGATAGATGCATTATGAATCGAAAGGAACAGATTTGTCTCTAGTCCCGTCCTGGTGGGAAATTAACACGTTCCTGTGCAAAAAAATCATTTACTATATACTAAAAAAATGTGCAAGGGGGTCAAGGCGCGTTCCTTTGCACTTGAAAGTATCCTGTTTGGTGTTCGGGTCTATGGCTCAGAAGTCTGACCCGATTGGCTTTACCCAGTGCCATATTGCTTTACATGTGCCGCGTACTGCTTGCTTGTGTGTCTCAATGGCTGTAATGAACCAGTCCTGGGCCTTCGTGATTAACATCGTCTGACTTTGACCATCCACTCAAACACATACGTCCACGGAGCTTCATCCCCACAATAACGTAGATTATCAGTTCCATGTCAGGAGCACGTCGCAAGAGGGACACGCCATTCATGCTGATCCCTCACCGTTTCTCACTAGAGGGTTACGATACAAAAGTTATACAGGTGTCAACTCGGTGGGATCTTTACCCAGGTTTGGACTATACGATCTGGTGAGTGGTGAGGTCATGGCAGCCTTGGTGCTCCTGAGTATCGTAGAACACACTCTAGCTTGAGGTATGCCATAAAGACGAGCTTTGAACTTGAGGACCTGTGTCTGTTGCTTCGCAGACGGCGACTCCTCTCATCGCGTTCACGTCATGGCGTTCCGTGCCGCTTAATGGTGGCATAGACCTGGCGACGCCATTGTTAGGATCGTACGTATTTGGTGGATGTGAAAAACTCGTGGCCATAAACACTGAGGATCGTTGGATTGTTCAGCCTAGGCTAACAAAAAGCACTGGTGAAGGTAACTTTCATCGGTTGGTGCTGTTATTCGGGACTCGAGTACAGACACTTTGATGGTTGTTCTAGGTGAAGGACGAGTATAATCCAGCGGGCTAGTTGTTGCTTGATGCGCAAGCTGAGCTATCACTCCTAGACTGATTGTTTTCCGGATCCTTCAATACATGGTGACTATCATCTTGGCTTGTCCTGGGGTCGATTGGCACGTATGTCAACATCGGACAGGGCACAAGATGGTTTCTTGTGCCCGACTGGCGCAGATTATATGACACGCACCTATTTTCATCCACGTTTTCTAACGACATAGACTCTGAAAGTTGTCAAGAAGGTGATGCAAGCCGGACTCATCCCGAGCTTTCGAATTTCCTGTAATAGGGCATGCCGTCGCATCAAGCCCACCTCAGGATAATAACCACGCCTCCCTTTTGCATCCCCATCTCTCACACTTCAGGTACGATGTTGCACGTTGGCCACTCGCTAACATAATATTCTTCACGTCCATTGCAATTGTTTCTAAGCGTGGATCAGGGAACAGTGATTATTCATTTAACCCGTAAACGAGCTTAGGAAACATGAAGCCCCCAAATGCATACCATACCGGCACGGTTCACTGGTTCGGCAAAACAACTCTATCGAGATCCCAACCCTCGTCCAGCGCCGGATGGCTCATACTCGTGGAGCACATGGACGGGCGGAAATCCTCAGTCTCTAGTCGATTGAATCTCCGCGATCAAGGTCCTTCGTGCAGACGTGCTTAACATTATTTGCCATTAATGTAAGCGGAAAGGACGAGGTCCATGGTCCCCAAACCTCATCTGATTGAGCACATGCAGCGCAGGCAGGACCACCCTTCGCCTTCGTCTCAACCATAAGCGGCCATCGACTCCATTCACAGAAGAAATTCCGAGTTTGAAAGACCAACGTGCTTCAGCTCGCGCTTCCGGGTTTGTGGAGGCTCAGCCGAGCATCCTTGATGTGAGTGCCACTGATATCGTCTAGCGATCAAACACCTCACCTGATTATGCCCGAATCCAACACAAGTCTTAAATGAACTCGTTGAAGAGATCAAGGCGATTCGGCAAGCCTCTACGCAAGGTAACTCTCTGCCTTCCTTGCCGCCTGCCGCCTTAGATGCACTCCCCGCACCCGAGGAACCTTCGACGATACTCGAAGAAGTTCACACAAATATTCATTGTCGGCTCCAAGCATGCTCCTCCTAACAAAGAGATCGCCAGGAGGTAAACAATTCATACTCTATGCGTAGTGCTTGTTTTCCATTCCCGATGATTCTCTGCAGAGGCCGTTTCGAGAGTGTGCAAAACGTCGACGTATTGGACCTCGCAATAATGGATTGCAGATTGCCCCCGTTCCGAGTCCGCTGTATGGGAGATTACTCTCCCTTGAAATGTCAGATCAGTGTGTTGACGCTTACGCACTTATTCTGATCAGAGCGACCCCGAACTCGAAACTATTCGATTTGCATACCTGCGTGATACGCGTAGATGTGAAGACCCGGGGATTGGAAAACGGAGGAACCGTTTCTGAGCACTAGAGGGGAAATAGTAGCCCCTACGTTCCTCAAAAGGATTGCTCATTGTTGATAGCTGATCAACTGTTGCGTGTGAACAGGTCCAAATCGCGTGCTAAAAAAATATCTTGCGGGGCCCGAGATGCCAACTTCGCCCTCACGTCAATGATCTGCACCACTAAAGGTAGTGCTCCGGGTGCTCGGCTCACGTCGAATATATGGACATTATATTTGGCCTAGCCTACCTCGTTCAATCTGCATGGAGGATTCATCACCATCATCATATTCAGCGGACATTGATAGTACTCATCCGACAATGTGGAAGAGCGTCTCAACGCGGACTGCAGGGCGACCGAAATCTTCATTCGCTTGATCTGGAAGTAGAGCAGCTTTTCTCCTTCTTGCGTCCATCTAGATGTGATTTGATCGGAGACTGGTGGATTATCTTGATAATCTACAT